CCAGCAGCGACGAACCGTGGGGCTGCCCCACGCGAAGGAACTGCTGCTCGGTGACCAGTTTGCTCCTCCGCCGGATGGACCCGTGGAAGCGAAGCAGCCCAGCTCTTCCATCTGGCAACATGTTAGCGTCCGGCTGATCCAGAACGGCAGGAAAATAACGGCCCTTCTTCCCAACGGTGGCTGCCTGAACTTCTTCAAGGTAAATAAGCTGCATTCAAAACCAATGAAGTTAACTGACCCAGTCCAACCGCTCAGAAATAGTGGTGTTACTCACCCTACAATCTGGGGAGTGTAGAACTACTGTGTTCTGCTGGTTAGTAAACACGGACCGTGAAACCGCTGAGCTCAAATTTTCCAACTTGAGGCTGTTTCAACAGGCTTGGGGTGCAGCTGCTCCGCTGCACATACGCACGTAAATTTACCGAAGCAAGTCTTGGTTGTTAGCTTTACTTGACTTTATTCTTCTTTGCTATTCCAACTAAATAGTACAGTTGTTTTTAACGATCTGGTTACTGCTAAATTCTAGGAAAATGACAACGTTCTGGTTGCTGGTTTTGGTTGGAAGGGTCACGCTGCTGGTGACGCTCATGGCGTTCAAGGTTGTCAAAGTAGCCAGTGTTTCTCTGTTGGCCTTGTACAAGGGCAAGAAGGAGAGACCAAGATCGTAAGTTCCTTTTGTGCAAGCTAGAGTACTGATAAACATTTTAATCTGATAATATGCCTTTCTGTGCCATAATAAATGGTTTGTATATACAAATATATCCTCTGCATGTTATTGAACACTGGGCGATATGTCTGAGTGAGCGTTTTTGCAATGGATGACACTAACTAAACCTGAGCACTTCTCTTTGGTTTTGGATCAAACAATACTCATTTTGAAGAACATGGTGAGATGAAGAAAAACTGTCATAACAGAAACGTCCCAAAGTCCTACTAAAGTTTAAGAAGAAACAGCAAAACCTACAGTAGCATCACCTCAAATCATCTCTTTCCTAGATCTTAACGTCTTAGTGAGTATTTGTGCACTAAATGCCATAGTTTGTTATGGTATATTCATTTTATTTATTAATCAATTTCCTTCCTAGTCAGCTTTTTAAGTATTCCTAATACTCTTAAGATTGTAAAGCAAAGCTGTAGTGTTTTTACAAGATTAACTATTCTGTTCTTAAAATTACCAAGCAGCGATTGCATTCTCCACATTGGAATTGCATCTTCTAACGAACTGCTTTTTGTAATAGTAATCTGTTTGCTCCTTAAACTGTTGCTGGGTTTTCTGGTTTTTGTTGGTTGTTTTTCTGATTTTAACTTTTTTTGATTATTTATTCTATCCAGACTGAATGTAGAAACAGCCCTGCATAAACAAAGTACGTATTTTCTATTTAAGCTATAGACGCAGGTTGTGTTAATAAAGACACACTTAGATTCAGTTACTGCCCCTTCACAGCAATCCCAAAAAGGGAAGTGAATGTTCATGGCTTTTCTCTTAGGGAA